TCTCCCCCCCCCTCTCCCCCTCTCTCTCTCTCTCACTCTCTCACTCTATCAAGTGTTTTGACAAGTCTGTTATTTGTAGCGATTCAAGGCTCATGTGCCTTTAGTGGTTATTATATTGTCTGAATTATTGCTGAATATTCAATTTAGCGGGAAGCGGATTTTAATTGGCCAAAAAATTATAGCCACCTTGTCGTCTACACTTTCGAATATGAGAAATTATTATTATTATGTAGTGAGAAGTTGTCAAATCCTCACTGCGCAGACACGCGCATTTCCGATAAATTAATATGCCTGATTTTTGTAAAACAAAATTTACGTATTCTCTATTGGTGGGATACTCTATTTTGTGGGTGGCCAGGGGGTAATGGCTGCATTTCGTGGGGTGTGTGTGTGTGTGTGGTTTCTTGGGCCATTCGGGTTGCCAGTGTCTGACCAAAGGGCAGACTTCTCTTCGAGACGCACGACTTGGGTAGGCTTCATGTCTCCATGCAGAAATCTTAGCGTTTCAAGTTCAAAAGATTTCTATGTCACGCCGTTTGTGAAATTAGCAATATTTGTTTCGATAAATAGTCATCAAAACCTCATTAATTGGCAGTTGCATTACCATACAATAGTTACTAGAATTGAAGAGTGTGGGAAATATTCATTTATTTCAAAAGGCATGCATTTGGATAATTATCATTAGCCCTTTAGCTGACTTCGGGCTTCACAGAGAGGAGGATGAACTTCAAAGTGACAAAAATCGAGAGAGGGGACATAATAATGAATCACAGATGTGAAAGAGACAGACACAAAGGTAGAAAAAGGTGAGGTGAGTAGAGTGGAAGTGATAGAATATGACATATAATGGGGTGATTGAAGTTTTAAGTGAGAGGTCAACTGTCGGTTAATAGACTTTTTTGCCTTAGAAGTATACGTCGCCCAGGGTGCACCACTTAACATATGGGAAATATAGAAATTTTCTAAAAATATGAGACGCAGAACAATGTGTTATTAATCTTGTTACCACAATGAGCTCGAATGAGGGGTAAAAGTGGATTCGGGGGCTTCAAAATTTGGAGTGTTCATAAAGCAGAAAAGGGAGACGGAAATTTTAAGTCAGCTGTGCTCACTCAAGTAGAACCCACTGTGGGCTATTTATTCCTTTTTTAAAAGTTACTTATTTTGGATATTTGTATTAAAAAATTGTATAATGTCAATAGTTGAACACTACATGGGGACTATTTCTTCCCCGATTAAAGACCCATTCCATTTCTTTAACACATGCATTTAGGTAAAATGGATTTAAAAAAACTCAATTCAAATTATTTTCCCCACTTTAAATAGGTTCCATATTAAGGACTGATAAATTGTTTTTTTTGTATTTTTTTCAACAACCTAATTTGCTTTCTCAATATCTAAGGGATCATTTTCTCTCTTTCATTCGGGGGGTCTGTTTCAATACTCCTCCTCTTCATCTTATACAATTTGGGTAATTTTTATACTTTCCACACTAATAATAATAATGATAATAATAATTTTTTGATATGTTTTTTTCTCACACCATTGTGTCATACCAGGTAGACTCCAGATGAGCGAAATCTAATTTAATTCAATCGAAAACGAGGTTTTATTTTTTACCAATCAAGTTTTGATCTTATGTATCCTCATGATTAGCATATGGTGCTTTAAAATAATAAAATATTTATGTATGATCGATTCTGATGGAAATATTAATGTCAGCCGAGTTATCATCTTTCTCCTACTTTCCTAGACTGTTCTAGACTGCTGCATCAACTTTCACCTCATTATGATTTAAAAATGTTCTTGAAATTTTAATTCACTCTTTCTTTCTCTCTTCTCATCACTTCACCCCAGGCCAAATTTTTATACCCCAGAACGGACGTCTCCATCTTAGACCTCACAAGCCACGACGTCAATTAATTACCAATGTTGTTTCATGCAAAGTTTCATGGCCATCATCATTCGAAATTTTTCCACATTTTAAAAAATTGCATTTGCAACGGTCAAGGTCAAATGAGAGTTTGAGCACTTTTTAATAAGGATACCAATTCATTGGCCATTCAGGACATATTTTCCACTATAAAATCTTTCATTTCTTTGCCTATTGCCATATGAAAACTATGTTAATGAATTAAATGAATAAACAAGGACGAGAAAATTTAATTATGAATTCAAAACCTTAGCATTGATTTCACTATCATTTGTTAATTATTATATGTTTTGCTTTTTAAATCTAAATAAGAATTTGATGGTTATTTTATTTCGTTTTCTAAGAACATTTTAAAAAATTAAAGTCATTATTTGCTTATTATTTGTATTTATTTTAGAAATTTTGGGTAACAGAAAAGTTGAGAAGAGTATGAAAAGATAAAAGGCATGCATTTTATCCATTTTTTTAGTTATAAATAATGAGTCAAAACAATTTCTATTGTTTTTAAATTTTAAGTTAAAAGACAATTGAATACTTGTGAAAATATGCATTGTTAATGCATTGATTAAAATCGACAACACAGTTGACATTTAAGAGAGAGCCAAAAGAAGAAAGAAGAAGACTAAAATAATGCATTGAAATGTCTCATGATGAGGGGCCATTGGTGCTTCTAGGTTTACAGAGATCGAGAGTGGCGTAGAAGTAGTTTAAGCTCTGCTTTACTGATTTTTCCATCAGAATTTTCATCCCATTGTTTCAACAAGAGATCACGAAATTCGTCCAAATCCTTGCTCATGTAATTCTACAAGAAAAATAAATGTCACCCACCCCAAATTGTTTTTGTTAATTCGTCACCATGAAGATTGCAACAAACTTTTTGTTGTTTATTATTTTGCCTGTATCTACAAACAAACTTCTGGGGGTAATGTGTCCATTCACAGGCGTCTTTTATCTGACCTTCAAGCGCTTATATTGGCACTTTTGCCCTTTTCGAGCATCAAAGAAGCTTGAGAGTGACAATTGTTTAATTATGTTTTTTTAACTATTCTCCCTTCCATTCAATGTTATCGTTTTTATGGAAGGTATTGTGTTTGATAAGTACCATCTTTTGTTCTCGAAAAACCACTCAAAATGTTTATAGTAATTTAAATTTCATATGCTAATGCGCTCTTTAAAATGGAGTTTTAATCCTCACCCGGAATCAAATAAAGACGTTTTCAGATGAATTTTGACTACTGATAAAGCCTTCAGCATTTAAGTAGTGTAGTTATTATAAGTAAAAAAATTAACCAAAATCCATAAGCACTTGTTTTCCAAGAGAATAATTGATATTTTGTGTAACCTTGGACGGATTTACATAGTTTTGTGGGTTCGAAATTCTTATAACCTTTGTAAGTATATATAATATAATCTTGGCGCATTTGATTATAAAGTTCATATGAATGTTAAATCTACTTCTTAAGCACAAACTCTAAATGTTTTATCATTTAAGTTTGGAGACCAAATTCGACACCACTAATTGAAATATTTCAAGCCAAGAAACGTACCTTCTTGGCACTATCCATTAGGTCTTTGACAAGGCCTTCAAATTCCTCGTTTTCAATCACTCCATTGTGATCCTAAAGAATAAAATAAATCCAAACAATGCTTAAAGGTTGGCAATGATGATTATTTATTTAGGATTAGATTTCATTTTATATATTTTTTAAATTTTATAGGCATCCAGAATTTATCAGTAGAGGCAAATAGTGTATTTGTTTGGCTCATTCACTGTAAGAGCTAAATAAATAATTGAAACGCACATGTTTTACTATGCGAAAAATTTAATTAAATCTTTTAAAATTAAAATCAATGTGAATTTCATTTTCCGTCTATTGGGAAAAAATATTATCATGAATAACTTGATAAAATTATTTGCTTTATTTTTGTTCTATGAATGAGTGAGTAAAAAATTACCTTCTAAAATATCATTAAATTTAATAATTGTATCGAGCATTGCAAAAAAATCAATTAAACTCTCAAATTACGTCTATAAAAAATTATATTAAGTAATAAAGTGGCACAAGCAGGGAAAAGTAGATTAGGGATTAGTTATGTAATTAATGAACACAGCTAAAACGTTGAAATCTTCAATAAAAGCAAATGGAATTACATATTTCTCATAAAATTATTTTCTTGAACTTTGAATCTGCTTTCAAAGGGCGTTGCACCTCTTAGATGGAAATCCTTTAACCATAGAGCATCTATCAATACTTGAAGAGTTAAAAAATTTAAGAATTTAAAATAAAAGTGCATATTTTTTCTCGAAATATCGTAAAACGATAATTCGGATGTCATGCAGAGTGGGATTCACTACAGTTTACCAATCCAATATTAACTCTTTCCTTTCATGAGAAATGCTTTCCAATTGTATTTGTTCCACAATTTGAGATAAGGTGCGTTTGAAATCTTCTGATATTTCAATTTTCACCGAAATCATCTAGCTTCGATTATAGTAATCAAATAGTATAAACTATAAGCCATATTTAAACTTGAGCAATCTTTATAGTTACTAGATTTGGGAAGAAAAAGGCGTCTTTCATATCAAACGGCCCAAAATATTAAAATAGCGTAAAATATTTATAGATATATAAGATTCTTTTGGGCGGCGATGCAGAAAGTCAATCAATTGGATCGATATTTCAATTTATTCAGCTATTCTTTGAATAGCACCGCATAAACATTATATAAACACATTATAAACGTCATAAAACAGAATAGGATAAACATTAGTGCTCTCAAAATAATGACAGATCCATGTAGACTTAAATGTTGACTAACTTATAAAGAGAGATGTAAAAATCCGTATAACTTTTGCTTTTCCGATTCGAATTGGAAGCATTCGCTTATTTTGAGTAGTGAACAACTATGTTTAGCATAATTCAAATTTAATTATGCTTCTACTGAAACTTCCATCACAGTTGCTAAAACACACTGAATGATGTTATTTATTGTGATTATCAGTCCCAACACCAAAAGCAAAATTCATCTGTTAAAGGTCAAGGACGAATCGCAGTTTTACATGGCCATATCACAGTGTATAAAAAGGAAGTACCATGGGCTAACCGAGGTACTTTAATGAAAGTGTTACTACGTAGGCAATGATGGAGATCTTATTAAATTTTAAACAGTATAGGCTCAGTTATTGTGATTGATTGAATAATGTATGACAGATTGTGTGCATGATCAAGCTCTATTAAGCACAATGTAAAATTTTAAAATATTTATTAACCAACTGTTTGAACACCTAGATTCCACCACTGATAAGCTTCTAATGGCTATCTGGTTTAAATGAGAAATTTGATGAATTCGGTTGAAATTTTAAAAAAGGTGCATACGAATAAAGAAAGAGAAGTACTAGTAGAGACGAAATTCCGATATAAAATAGATTTCTATCAATTGGGAGCGTCTACTTACTTGATCATAAAAATCGAAAATCTTGTCCAATTCTGCCTCAGATATATCCTAAAATTGAGTTTATTATTAAATCAATGAGATAGATCCCTACATGCAGCGTATTGTTTGCGAGAATGTTGTTCTTGGTAGGAAGTAGTCTATAAGATAAAAATTGAGTTCATTTTGGAGAAAAGACGTCAGACTTACTTTGACATTTCGCAAATTTGCAAATGTCCATCCGAATTCATATCGAAAAATCGCATCTAAATGTAGAAGAAAGGGGAGTGAGGAAAATAATGTTAAATGCCAAAAAAACATAAATATTAGATGATAATTGGTTTTCTCAAACAATATTTAAATGAGAGAATTGGTATTGGCTAGTTTCCACCGCAGCCTAATGACTTTTACTTGTGAACATTGTGTTTACGGTAATTTGCTTACAATAAGTGCGGCAAACTCCTGAATTTTTTCCTCAGTAACTGGAACAGATGTTTTGGCCAGGAGCTTTCGTAAAAATGCCTAAGATGGAACACGCATTATTATTATTATTGAAAATAATTTCACCTGTAATTCTGAGCTATCCAGCAATCCATTGCCATCAGAATCAAATTCTCGCCAAATCTAAAGGAATGATTGTTTAAACGATCAAATCGAGGCAACAATAAATACCTTCATAAATTCGAAGCTTGAACTTATATTGGACAACTTTCGGAATACCAGGAGGAAACGCTCTTCTTCATCAAGCAAATGGGAGATCTGAAAGCAAATTGCCACTGCTATTTCTTAATCTAATTAATTTTTTTAATTTAATTTAAATTTATTCGTATATCAATCATACGCTAGACCTAACAGGATTTGAATTCGGAAAATGTGAATAAAATGAAACTGATAAGAAGACCAGGTAGCAAAAACCTCCTTTAATCGAATTTCATTCAAGAATCATTGGAGATATTAGAACTAGTACTAATTTTGTACGCAAATAATTTGTTGGATTTTTGAAAAAAAAACAGAAGGGTTTCTTTACTGAAAAAAGCATATATACATATATATATATATATTTTGAAAGTAATAATTCATCCAAAAATATGGAGGATAAAGTTGGCCTTTGGAATATTAAGTTAATTTCTGGATTATTTATAATTTTTGTGTAAATAATTAAACTAGGATTTCCCATATACCATTATTTTCCTTTATCCATTTATTTCCTAAAATTCCTGATTAAGTATCACCACATATTATCCCGAAAAGGATCTAGACATCAATATTGTTTTTTGATCGTGGACAATAAGTTTGAAGCAAACACAATGTTCTAATCTTAATTAGCACTAGCTTTAAAGTGTGATAAAATAAAACTGAATTATTTACTAAATAAATTATGATTTTTAAAATAGTGATTTTAAATAAAAAAATAATTATTAATAATATCCGCTGCTCACTGTACATTTATTTGGAGCATGAAAAATTTGACTTTTAATTTGATGCATAAGTAGCGAGTTTAAGTTTAATTATCCGTAATTAGAACGCTTGACGGTCTACAGACTAATTTTTTAATTACGTTTAGGATAAAATATCGCATTTCCACTATTCTCAAACATTTTCAACGAAGTATCTTCTCAAAAGTACAGCCCGGTGCTTGTCGTAATGGAAATATCGCGACTTCGTAAAACTAACCAGCAACTAACTGGTTTTTGAAAATACTTTTTCCCATAATAGTCATATGTGGTGAACTACCGGAATATATAAAATTAGTGTCAAGCCCCATTGTTTTTAGAATTAATTGTCAACCACGATATCATTATTTTTTCACAAGCAAACTTTCTATTAATGATTCGTAATTAGTAATCAAATTTACTAACTAAAGTAGAAATAGGAAAAATTAGTTATCGAAAGCTAAGATCTCAATTTATTTCACACTTTTTCAGAACAATTAATTTGGTAAATAAGAATTATTTGTTCAATTCGCATTCTTGATAAAAAATTCAATTAAACTGGATGCTCATTTATCCTATAAGAAATTTAAAGTTATGCTACAACAAAATTGAGATTATTTAAACGATGAAATTGTTATAATGCACATGAAATTCTTATTAAGATTAAATCTTCGTATTGTGTAGCAAGCCACAACGGGTAGTAAGGTTAATATGATAGTGTAAATGTTGCTATCAATAAGTCATTTTTTCATTAAAAGCCAAAATTAGTCAAAGAACAGGTGGAAAACAGGAAACAAGTCTTGGAGGAGAGGTATTTCAATTAGAAGTAAAAGATTCAAACTGAGGTAGTTGTTTTAAAAGAAAATAATTTAATATCAAAATTAATAATGTGCTGATTCTATTTTCTTACCACTCATTCCATTATCTTGACCCGTCAAGAACCACTTCACCGAGTTCTGTGTGTACACTCATTTCTTACTCTGCCAGTAATAACATACCTGATCTATCGATTTTGTTGTTTGCACTAATTATGTACCTTTGATCATAACAAAATATGCAGAAGGCCTAATTTAGTACTATTTTCAAGTCTTGGGATTGTGTTAATTTTTATTGTTATATATAATTTTTGAGTTAAGCTCGTTAGAGAGCAACGCAGAACCACAATATGCAATGAGTATAAAAATGACAATTTTTATTATGGCATTGTAATTTATCGTCTTTTTGATCACTTTAATGATAGTAAAGAACAACTTTAAATTAATCAAATATAGATTTATGACAATTATTACAGTAAAGTCAACACCAACATATTTACAAAGAGATTTAAAATTAAATAAAATTAAATTAGGGATAATAACTTGGGAATAGAGTATTTTTTATTACTGTTTAATTACGAATGTGAAAATTGCTTGGGCACACCCAACAATTTTTAAAGTATAAAAAACATTTAACTTAATAACATTCTCAAAGATCCTGTAATTCCGCAAATTTGAGAAATTTTAAATGGTAATATACCTCGTCAATTCCAATTTGATAGGGCATTCCAGGATTTATAGATGCCGTAATGAGATCCGGAATAGAAGTTCGGCTATAATTCTGAAATTGGCACATAAAATTATAAAAGCTTAATAAAGTGTTTTGAACTTTATTTAATGACATATTTATATATAAAAAATTCGTTACATTACTTGCATTCATATAAAATAAATGAGGATGACTGCTCTATGAAATGACAGACAATTCAAACGCTTGCAGTTAATGCAAGAGTTTTTCAACCTCGCGGTGTATGTCATTAGCTTTGAAAATTAAAATTTAAGGCACGTCCATTATCCCAATGTTGCAGAAAGGGAAATTTTTTATAAACCTCTGGAAATTGATTGGCGCGGTAAATTAGGTAAAAACTAAAACTAAATCTATTGTTTAAAGACAATTAACAATATGAATTTTCTGGGTTTACTTTCGTTATGTTAGATGAGCCAAATTGTTATGTAATTGGCAGTGGAATTATGTAATTTTAAATTATTAACTATTCCAATATAGTGTCTAAAAGGACAAAAAGCTCATTTCGATACTTGGTAAATGAAAACGATTGACATTCTCAATTGCAAAATTTCCTACAAAATATAATTTTTAAACAAGATTTGTATTTTCTGAAATCTTTTCTCGTTGTGATTAATACTTTCGCCAATGTGGCATATTAGACATTTGGAATACGAAATTTTTGATGCAACTATTGGAATATAATTCAAGCTCAAAGTTGAAAGGAGTATTTCCAGAAATATTTTAATTGCATTCCAAGTTGGAGATTAAGTAAAAGTAGTGAATAATAACAAATTTGAATTCTACGTTGCCAATACTTCAACCGTCCTTAAAAATCCGAAAAGATTCATCCACCCTTTCTACTTGTTTTAGCTACGAACAAATTCTGCAAAAAAATTTTAATTGAAAATCGTTTCAATGGAAATGGACATTGAATTCATTGAATTCCTCTTCAAATTATTTTTTGATTTCCGCCGCTATCAAACTGGCTCAATTGGTCGCCATTCCGTTTATTCGATTATATGTCATTAGCGCAATTTACGCCTATTCACTAAAAGGCGCCATTGCTTTAAATAGAAAATCTGTTATATATATATATATATATATATAATAAAAATGACTCACTGGGAAAACATTTTTGAGTATTTCACCAAAAATGCGAACGAATAGCTCGTATTCCTCATCAGTTAGAGCGCCATCATCTTAAACAAACATATATATATAAGTGCACTAAAATTAATCTCAATTATTTAATCTTTTTTTCATTTTAAAATAAAAAGCAATTGCAAAGAGGTGTATAGTGATGCAATCGCCCTGATAGCAAATCTATACCGGTTTAACATTTGTGATTAAATGCAGTTTGGCTAGAAAAAATAATCTTCCCCTTAAGTCAGGAAAAAATCGATAATGAGTAAGCGATCGGAAGAACTTACGGTTAAGATCAAAGAAATCCCAGACGGCAAGGAGATCCGATGCAGAAAGTGAAACTATTTTGCCAGTAATCGGCTCCAGCATCTTCTCCAATGTATGTATCAACGCTTGTTTTGGCATCTCTTGCGACATTTTCTAGCCAGTTCTTTAAATTTTTAAATAAAGAGATACTAGAAGAGTTAAATAAATTAGAATTTTACGATTTGTTGATGTGCTCCTATTGTCTTCAAATATCCGTTGTCGGTTTTTATTCAAAGCTCTGAGCCTTGGGAACAGAGAATATGAAGAGTTCTCATTGGCTGACTGAGAACATGTGTCCAATTGGTGGATATCCTCGAGTATTCGATAATAACCATCTTTTAGTTTTTTCACCTTTGAAAGCCCCAACTGTAAGAACATCCACATTGTGCTTAACCTAATACGTTTAAATTTATCAAAATATTTCAGTATAATTAGCTAATTAATACGGATATTTATAAGCACAAGTAAAACATTATACAAAATAAATGCTTGTGACGCAATCATGGGGATAAAAATATCTTTGCTAATTTAATAACTAAAATGTAAAATAAATGAAAAAAGAGTTAAACAAATTTCTGTCCTATCATTCATATCAATATAACCGTCATTTTAGGGGTGTTTATTATTTATAATTTTAATTTAATTTCAACTTAACTTGAAGTTGTTCTTCGTTTGTTTAGGACGAATACTATTTCAGATAATTGATTATTGGTTAATTCGATTTATTTATTTATTTCAAATGGCGGGCATTTTGATAGTTATCACAAGCTCTTTAGTTGACTTCAGGCTTCACAGAGAAGAAGGAACATCAAATTGAAAAAAAGTCGAGAGGGGGAGGGGAGGGAACAGAAGAGTATTTCAAAGATGTAAAAGAGACAGACACAAAAGTAGAGTGAAAAAGGTGAGGTGAGTACTGTGGAAGTAGTCGAATATGACATACAGTGAGGTGATGATGTATTGAAGTCGGAAGTCAACTGCCGAATAATAGACTTTTTGCCGTATGAGTATACGTTGTCCAGGGTGCACCACGTGGAGGTAAGTCTATCACACACCCCCTGATTGATTAGATAAATC